TTCCTTGCAAAGACATGTTCCTGCAAGACAAAATCTCTGACCCCCGTCATTGAAGCGAGAGGGGTGTCAGGGCAATAGTGAGGGTGGAGCCTATCCAACACAGTTCTTAGGCGTCTACCCATCAGAAGTTCAGCTGAGGATTTGTTGGTGACCATACAAGGGGTTGAGTGTTGGCTTAGTAAGAAGTGGGAGAGTCTGTGATGCCAGTCTTCTTTGCTGAATCTGGCTAACGCTTCTTTTGTGGATCTAACGGCTCTCTCCGCCAGTCCGTTGCTGGCAGGATGAAAAGGGGCCGTGAACATGTGTCGGATGCCAAGATTGGTGGCAAAGCGGCTAAATTCTGTTGAGGCAAACTGGGGGCCATTATCCGAAACTATGGTATCTGGTAGCCCGTGTGTTACGAATAGGCGGGTCAAGGCCTTGGTAACCGCTTGCGTGGTGGTCGTGGATAGATGGGCCACATTGATCCATTTAGAGTATGAATCTACGACCACCAAGAAGGTTTTGCCATGTATTGGCCCCGCTAAGTCAATGTGAAGCCTTGACCAAGGCGCTCTCCCACTTTGTGGGGGTGGTGACTGGAGGGGATGGTCTGGATTCCTGACAGGGTTGGCAAGAGCTTACCCACTTGACGATGTCGTCATCCAAGCCAGGCCACCAGACGTAACTCCGAGCCAACGCCTTCATCCGGACGATGCCCGGGTGGCCCTCGTGTAGTGCCTCTAAGACTGGTGTGCGAAGCGAGGCCGGAATGACAACTCGGGTGCCCCACAACAGGCAGCCCTGTAAGCTAGATAGTTCCTGTTGACGGGTCTTAAAAAGTGTGAATTCGGCTGCGAGATTAGAGCCCGGCCACCCCCTCCTCACCCAGTCCAGTACCTGGGCGATTGTTTTGTCCATCTTGGATTTGGTGGCAATGTTGAGAGCGGTGACAGGAAGGTCGAGCTTGGTGACATCGAAGATGGCATGGACCGGGGCCGGGTCCTCAGCTGGAGCTGGCAGGGGGCAGCGGCTGAGGGCGTCTGCGTGGCTTAACGTTTTTCCTGGGCGGTGGATGAGCTTGTACGAGTATGCCGCCAGGAACAAGGTCCACCTCGTCATTCTGGGAGACAACACTTGGGGAGTCTGCTTGTCTCCAGATAGAAGACCCAGGAGAGGTTTGTGGTCTGTGATTAGTTCGAAGTTGTGGCCAAAAAGGAATTCATGAAATTTCTTTACCGCTGCCACTGCGGCTAAAGCCTCCTTGTCGATTTGACTATAGTTACGCTCTGTTGCTGAGAGCGTTCTGGAAAAGAAAGCGATTGGTGCCTCGGAGCCGTTGGGTAGTCTATGGCTTAATACGGCTCCAATCCCAAAAGGGGATGCATCCGCTGCTAGTACCAATGGGAGGTGTGGGTCAAATTGAATAAGGACCGCGTCTGATGTGAGCAGTGATTTGACTGCGCAAAAAGCGATGTCTTCCTTGTGTCCCCAGTGCCAAGGTGATTTTTTATCTAAGAGCCTGTGTAAAGGCTCTGCTACTGATGCTTTGTGAGGTAGGAATGACGCATAGAAGTTCAATAATCCCAAAAAGGCTTGTAGCTCGGCTTTAGTGGTTGGCGTGGGTGCCTCATGGATTGCCTTGACCTTGGATTCTAGGGGGTGAATGCCTGAGGCGTCAATTCTATAGCCCAAAAAGTCCACCTGTCTAGTGGCAATGGCACATTTCTCCCTTTTTAATTTGAGGCCATGCTGTCTGAACCTGTCTAACACTGCTCTGACTCTCTGGAAGAGTTGGGGCCTGTCCCTGGCCGAGACCAATATGTCGTCGAAGTAGGGCACTACGCCAGGGAGGCCCTGAAGTATACGCTCCATGAGGGATTGGAAGATGCCAGGGGCAACACTTACGCCAAACTGGAGACGCCTGCACCGGAAGGCACCCCTGTGGGTCACAATAGTTTGTAATTCGGCTGTTTGGTTGTCAACAGGGAACTGTTGATACGCTTGTGACATGTCCAATTTGGCAAAAATGTTGCCAGGCTCAAAGGTGTGCAATAAATGTTGAATGACCGGGACTGGGTAAGCGCTAACTTGTAGAAAGCGGTTAATTGTTGTTTTGTAATCCGAACAAATTCTCAGACTGCCGTCCTTTTTAAGGGGTGTGACAATTGGCGTCTCCCATTTGGCGAAGTCTGTCGGCTCAATGACCCCTTGCTTTAATAATTTATCCAGCTCTGCGTCCAGTTTAGGCCGAATGGCAAATGGGACTCTACGAGGTTTCAGCCGGACTGGAACCGCCTGGGGGTCAACTGCAAATGAGATGGGGGTACCGTTATAACACCCCAACTCATCGCTGAATACGTCTGAGTAGTCAGTGAATAAGGAGTCAGTGTCAGAAGCTGAGACAGCATGGACTCCTGTTAATCCTAGGCCGAGGTAGGGGAACCAATCAAGCCCCAAGAGACTAGGGAGGTTGTCATTAACTACCACTAGAGGCAGGTGGCCTTTGAAAGCTTTAAAATTAACAAGGAACTTGCCTTTGCCGAGTACTGGAATGTCCTTCCCTTGATAGTCTCTCAAGGTGATCTGGCACTTCTGGAGCTGGTTTCTGGATAGTCTGGGCTGGATTTTCTTGAGAGTGCTCCAAGAGATGATTGAGAGCGCTGACCCCGTGTCAACCTCCATACGACAAGGTTTACCTTCTAATAAAATGGAGAGTGTGATTTTACTAATAGAATGACAGGTGTGGTTAGCATGGTAGCAAGTGTGACAATTTAGTACTTGCCTTTGGGGTCCAGAATGGGAAAAGGAAGGAACCTTTTGTGCTGAGTTGTGCGCGGCCTGGCAGACTCTGGCGATGTGGCCTTTTTTGTGGCAATTGTTGCAGATGGCACCTTTGAATTTGCACGAAGCTCTCGAGTGAGGTCCGCCACAGGATAGGCACAGGATGATGTGTTTGGGCGCACTGTTGCTTTCTTGCCTGGTTCCTACCTGTGGTTGTTTGGCATGAGCGAGGCGGTGGATGTCTGTTTGATCGTTGGGATCATCTTCATTGACCACCTCTTCTGAGTGGATGGCGGCACAGCTTTGTTTGGGAACGGGACCTTGAATCTCGGTGGCTGACTGGGTTGCCAGTTCTGCAGCCAAGGCTTCCTCGACGGCCTGGGAGAGGTTGAGATCCTTCCTGGCAAGCAGTCGCCTTTGGAGGTGAAGGTCCTTGAACCCGCAGACGAGCTGGTCGAGGAGCATGTCATCTAAGTAGTTCCCGAACCCGCAGTGGAGAGCTGCAGTCCTCAAGGCGGCCATGTACTGGTTGACGGTTTCCTTTTCAGCTTGCTTCCTCATCCGGAAGGAGAAACGCCTCGCGATCTGTGAGGGCCTGGGGGAGTAATGATTGGTGAGGATCTCCAGCAATTCTGCCCAGGGAACATTCTTTAACTCACGTGGAGCAATGAGTGCTGTGGCGGTATCAAAAACGATGGCTCCGCAATAACTGAGGAAGAATGACTTCTTTCTGTGCTCCCCAGCATCAGCCAGACCAATGGCATCGATGTAGTGGTTAAAACGATTTTTGTATGACTCCCACTTTTCTTCATCAGGCTTGAACGGTGGGAAGGCTGGGTTGGAGTTCATGTTGTGAACTTCTGCAGGTTACACTGCTGTGAGATCTCTCTGGGATGACAAATGGCCCTTCGTGCTCTTGTCAGACTAGTGACTTCAGCTCTTGAGAGGTTATACAGAATCTCTCTGTTCTCTCTGGGTTACGCTATGGCTCAGGCTGCAACGGTCGTTGGCAGCGTTATTTGAATTTCGCGCTCCTGGAGAGCGTAGGCGGTAATGGCTGACCGCAGCTGACAGTGATTTGAATCTCGCGCCCTGTGCTGGCGTCAGAGACTCCCGGAATGACAGCACCGCGCTGTACTCCGACTCGAATTCAAACGACAGCCGTTTGAATTTTGCGCCCTTTTTGAGCTGAGCGGCTGCGGCTCGCAGCGCTTCACTTTCCCTGTAGCTTGCTAACCGAGCGGCTACAGACGCTCTTCCTTTTGCTTTTGCTGACCGAGCTCTCCAGCGGCGCGGCTGCGGCTCAGCAATTGAGTGATTTCAGCTGTTGCGGATTGCCTCTGGTAGCCATCCCATCCTCGTCGCCAGTGTTGTAGATTGAGCAATGAGAGGCTAGACCAGGGCATGGATGCAACAAGACTTTATTAAAGTAATAAAGGACTGAACGTGTTAGCCCTGCCTGGAGCAGGCTCACAGCGAACAGCGGCTGACCGAACCCTGCAGCTGGCTTTTATAGCCAGCTGTCGAGGGAAGCCAGCCAATGAGGGGCAGCAAACGCCCCCGCAGCATGAATGGACCTGGGTGGGGACTTTGGCAAGTTCCAGGGACATAACAGTGATCTTTTTAATAAATGATGGAGAATTTATGTAATAAATAAACAATTCTGGTTTTGAATATCAATATCAATCATTCCTATTCAGAAGAGCTATTAGGTAGGTATGCTACAGATATGGCAATTGTATTCTGTATGAGGCAAAGCTAGTTAGGGAAGCCTTCATTTTACAAAGCACTTTCATCTGGTCTGCCTAAAGAGCAGGGCATGACAGTACTACGCAAGCTTTGATGGGAAGGGCTGCACTTAACATTTGGAAAAAGTTTAAGAATGGCTGGAAATGAGGCAATAATATAAATGAGTAAGACCTGGATTTTTATTTTCCTGGATCTGGAAGATAAGAAACTAGGTCTTTATTTTTTTTTTTAAGCATGTAAAACTAATGTAACAAACAATGGATACAAGTATCCCTGTTCTATCTAATGAGATAGCTTATCCATCTTATAGTAATTTTACTGAACATTACAGTTAATGTTTACATTAATTATACTTTAAAATTCAGAACAAATACTAATAAAAAGTTCAAATATCCTTACTGATTCCACAAAGTGTTGCCTGATCAGCCTGGTTTTCTGATCCTTTTTGGGTAAAGGTTCAATGTTAGAGCTGTATTGAGGAATTTACAATGCATCTGGCTGACAAAATTGCTGAGATCCATTCTCAGTTGGAGACCAAGTAAGGCATGGCTTTACTAGGAATTCTTGTGGAACAATCTTATCCATTAACTGGGAATAGTTTGATCCTGCTGGATGTAAGGAAGTCATCAGGATCCTTGGGATGATAAGTACATTATATCCCCTTTTCAAGGAGCCATCACTGAACTCTATTATTCCTGCTAACTTTTATCCAGCTTCCACCTCCCGCTTTTAGAAAAATGGTTGAGAAAGTAATGCTGCAGCTTCAGAGGATCCTGAATGAAACAAATTATGTTAACCCCTTCCACTCAGGTTTCAGGCACAGATACAGGATGGAAATAGCACTGATCACACTTGTTGATGACCAGGAGCAGGCAGGAATAAAATGGAGGTAGTGTGTTCAATCGGCTCGTCTTGACTTCTTGGCAGTTTTTGATATCATTGATCATGGTTTTCTTTAGAATTAACGTTGGAGTGGGAGACACAGTCTTATGCTGGTTCACTTTCTTACTCTGGGATTGGTCCCAATTGGTGATAGGAAGTGAAAGGTCTAGCACCTTTCTAACATCTATATGATGTTTACATCTATAACATCTTTCTAACATACATATTGGGGTATGTATGATCTGGGAAGGGAACAATAGGTTATAACTGAATGGAATGACTGTATGTAGAAGACTCCTCTGTGTATGAGAATTTACCAACTTTGGTCCTGGACGAAATTGCACTGTTCTAGATGTACCTGGTATGTAATATGAGTGTCCTCTAGTTTCACAACTCCTGCTTGAAGAGCAGGTAGCAGTAATGGCTAGAAAGGTCTTCATTCAACTGTGTGTTGTACGCTAGTTATGTTCTTTTCTGGATCGAGAAGCCCTGATTGGAATCCAGGAAGAGAGTCTTCTCTGCTGTTCCCCTGCCCTCTGGGATATCTTACCCCCAAAGGGGGTTTCAAAAGAGTATTAAGACCTAGTTCTGCCAATTATCGTAGAGATTGAAGAGTGATATGTAACTCTGGGGACAGATGCTGATGTGAGAGCTACTTCCCATGCTTTAAAAAAAATTGTAATATTATAATTTTAACTTTGTTCTTAGTTCTGTTTTATCTTTGTGTTTTTTAAAGCTTTATACCATTTGTAATGCTTATATTGTAAACTGTCCTGGTCTTAGTGAGATGGGAGGTATAGAAATGTGAGAAATAAACAGTCTAGAATAAGGTTTAGGAACTAAGCTGGCATCATTATGTTGGAAGACCAAGGAAGTAAAATTTCAAAAGCATCATTTACTAGGAATAAATTTTTAAGATATCTTAAAAAGAAAGGCATACAGAGCACAAATTCCCACTCATGACATTTTCTCACTAACTAAAATCTCATATTTTGTTATAGTTTTAATTAAGAAGTTGTTAGACAATTGGTAATATACACAGTGATATTTTATATCTCATTAATAACAGGATGAATGCAATGAGGTCAGCATCTTTCTTAGTATTTAACACAAAACATTTTTCCTCCAGCCTGATTTTGAAGACTTTGTTTTATATATGCTGTCTGCACCCTCCTATATTCTGATAATATCTGAAAGAAAGCATGGCCAAAGTATACCTTTTTTACATGAATTGGAAGCAGTGGAAGAGGAAGAGGAGGAAGAGGAGGAAGAGGCAAAGGAAGAAGAGGAGGAGGAGGAGGAGGAAGAAATGAAAGAAAAGGGGGAATTTTTATCTGAGGCATGGAGGAAACACTCTGTGACACCTGTAATTGGGTATGTCATGTATGTTTATATGTATGCATATATGAGAAAAATATTTATTTTTTAAGTTCATAATTCACAATTAGTATCAGACTGAATTCTGACTTAAAATAGATTCATTTGAACCAAATGCATTACATTAGTCTAATATAAATCCTGTTAAGTTATTAGATCCAACCATTTGTTCACTGAAGACAATTTCTGCTGAAATAAATGGGATTTATAGCCTTAAATGTCTTGTTCTCCAATCTAATCTAAAGTTGCTTGGTTTCATTCAATTACTTGTTTAATGGCTATAATTTAGACAGACTTTAAAGATTAGATTTATATCACAAGACCATTGTGGGGCTGAAAGGATTTAATGCATTGAGGCTTTAATTGGTTTTTGCAGAATTTATTATTTAGACACAACAGACAAGGTCAACTGTCATATCTCTGACTAAAGGATGGTCCCCTCCTTCCATTTGGAATAAATGTCATTTCCACCAAAATGTATAACTTTGAAAAGGATTCACATGTAGTGGTGAACAAGGAAAGTCAATCAAATCAAACTAAAATCAAACCCGGTATTCAATGAAATAAGAGAAATCACAATCAGCTTGCTCCCACATAGGTTGCTTCAGCTTTAACATCTTTCAGAAACTAATGGTGTCCTCCTAAATTTGCAAGAACTCATTAAAATAGAAGGGAAAAAAAGACCATGAATTCACATATTTGATTTTTGTGTTGTGATGAATATATGCCCCAATGTGTTCTGATAATCTGAAAGAGGAGGAGGAAAGAGCATGTTAACCAAAATTTATCAGTACTGTAATGTGTATTATTTGAATACATTTTGTAATTCAAAAACCAGAATGGCAGTTCACTAATTCATTTGGACCACATCTAAAACAGTCAATTCATCAGAATGTTGACAGAATTTTCAGGGGGAAATTTTTTTAAATGCTTGCTATTCTCATATTTTGTTACAGCCAATAGCAACCTTGGCTAATCTCACAAGCATAAATCAGTTATTATATTGTTATGTATCTGAATGGGAGACTATCCAGAAATCCCAGGCCAAAAGACTAAATTGGGAAGTTGAAGAAGCATATCAGAAAAAAAGCAATGGCAAATAATTTTTGTGTTGTTGCCAAAGGACTTGAGGAAGTATTTACCTTGTTCAGTATAATACTGACACCAATTTGCATCTCTTTTTTTCCTTTGATATGTTGACATATAATATTTGTTATTTGGCTTCAGGATCAGAGTATTTAAATTTGAAGCTGTTGATGATAAAGTAAGTCCTGTGTTAATATTAAATACATTTTACATTATTTTCCTTTTTGTTAGTTTGAAAGAGATGTTGCAAAATCAAGACCTGTTACATCACTGTGATATTCAGGATCGTGTTGAAGAAACAAGCAGGCAACTTGCCTTCTTTTTCTCTGATTTTTCCAAGCCAAGGAATGAAAAAGTTGTTGAACGAACACTGGCATTGATCAGACCTTCCCTTTTAAAAGAAAGAAGAGGTTGGTGGAAATTATTACAGGCACTTCAACTGAAATATATGGCACTTTGCTATTCTTACTAGGGTCTGATAAGAAGAAAGTGGAAGAAAGGTGGAAGTGGTGGTGTTTTATTGGCTAAGAGCTGACAGTACTTTAGACAAATGATCGCATGTTCTGAAAAATTACCTTTTCTAGCTTAAGAAACCTATTCTGATTCAAAGTCCTGGCATGTTTCTTTGTTAGACTTACACTATTTTTAAATGTATATGTTACAGTTTTAACCCATCTTTTTACATATAAAAGATAAAATAAAAACAACTGAGCATTTTTAAACAAAAAGATCTAAAGAAATGCACACTTAAAATGTGGTGTAGTTTGAAACATACAAATTTATTCTCTTTTTCTTTTTCTTTCTTGCATGAGTATAAATGAAAATGTGTGAGCCATAACCCAAATTAATTAAAAGCTTAAAGGAAAACTATATTGGAGAGCTCAACAAGAAAATATTATGAAACAGCCTTTTCCAACCTTGAAACCTTTATGAATCCCCCCGCTAGTATGGATATTATTCTGAATATTGGGAGTTAATAAGGGGCTGCCCATATATCAGAAAGCTATCACAGAAATATATTGCGTATTTCAAATAATCATCTATACATGAATGTTATGACTCCCCTTCAAAATTCAAACGAACAAAACAGAAAGCAGCCGTTTCACAATTAAATCAAATGGAAAGAAGTCTTACAAGATAACGGCTGGCAGAAACCTCAATCCACAGCATAAATCTTTACTCTGTCCGGCAAACCAGTCCTGGCAATAAATCTCCAGTCTCAGAGCTTCTTGCTGTAACGTCCTCACTCAAATAGTCACTTTGTTCCTGGCAAAATGTACCAGCCCAGCTGTGTCCTTTTATACTCATTGAGGCAATGTGCTAATTTACTGACTCGCTCTCCTCATTCGCTCTCAACTGTCTTCTGTTTTTTACATTTAACCACAAATTTTCCAAGTTCTCATCTCCACTAGAAGACTCTCTCAAAACTTCCCTGTCAGCCATTCCCGGCTGTTGATCAGATAAGGAACCAGAGGAGGTCAAAGGTCCTGACAATTCTAATACATCAGGTCTGTCGTCCTTTGTCACATCCATCTCCTCATCCTGGTTACCAGTCCAATCACTGAGCCATGACGGCTCATATTTTTCTGCCATGACCTCCTCACTTGAACTCATATCAGTCACAGGACCTGAATCCAAGCCCGAAGCCACAACACATGAATATTCTCAAGCAGCAAATATCTAACTGCACATGAATCAGTCATTTTGCTATGGATGATTTCTTTCAAAATTAAAATTATTTACTAAAATTATTGAAAATTGTTATGCTCGGGAGATCGGTCCTGGGTAGATCGGGTCGCATAGAGGGGCGAGACTCAAAGTACACATTCAGCTCTTTATTGAATATACAGCTCAGTTCAGGACCTGCGAGCCGCTTGGCTTTATTCAACCGGCCGGCGGCTTGGCGGCCAATGGCAGCGCTTTGAATTTCCCGCGATCGGCTCGGCCAATCGCAGTGGATTCTTAGCGCGCCAATCACAGTAGTTTAGTTAGCCAATCAGATTGTGGTCCGCATGGACCAATCAGAACTCAGGATTTCGAGAATGTTAATATAGAACAAAAATAATCTGAAAATATGTGATTATTGACGAAGCCTTAACATGATCTAGCAAACCAGTTCTTATACTTTACTTGAAAGTTGAGGATTCAGTTACTTCACCAACAATTTTTGTTGAACTAGTTGAATTAGAAAAAACAAGATGCAGATACAATATGTTCTTCAGTTATTGAAAGTTTAAATAATATTGGGTTTACTAAAAAGTACTTGTGGGGAGGGGGAATTAATAGGATTTTGCTTCGATGGTGCTAGCATTATGCTTGGGAGAAAATCTGGAGTGAGCACTAGAATAGCAAAAGAGTTTCCAAACATCATAATATGGCACTGCTTAAACCATCACCTCCAACTTGTTTTAGATGATTCGATAAAGGAAACAAAGCAAGTAAATCATGTTAACATTTTTATTGATATTTATTGTATACTATTTTTCATCAATCCAATAAGAACCAAGCTGAACTTTTCAAAATATCCAAACAACTTGGGATTGAAATTATAAAGATTGGTAGAGTTTTTGGACTAAGATGGGCTGCCTGTAGTTGAAGGTCAACCCTGGCTGTTTGGCACACTTATCCAGTGCTACATCAGTATTTTCATTCTAATGAAAAGTATGGCTGCTCTTCTTGAAAATATATATTTTATGACTGATTTGGCATTAATGATTGACATTCTAAATGAAATTTCTCTTCTTTCAAATGCACTGCAAGCAAGTAATGTAGACATCATAAAGACTGAAAAACATATGATAAGGTCAATTAAAGCATTTAAAATCCTTAGAAAAGGGTGCATACAAAAAAGTGGATGGATTAATTACTTCAGAAACCTTCAAAAATATAAAAAATATTTTAAAAATCATCGATTCGTTAGTCTCCTTCGGGACTTTTAGAAAGCATCATAACAAATTTAAATAGAAGACTAATGGACTGTGAACATTTAAAAACAGGTAATCAATTGCAAGACAGGACTTATTTACAATTCCTCACTTTTTTGGAGCTAGATTACTGGAATATTGAAGAGGTGATGGTTCCATGGAAAGCAGCTGAAGAATTGCTTGCATTTAGTGACATCTTTATTTATGAAATTAATATTAATGATTGAGGCTTTGTGAAAAATGTTTTAAAAGATTCCCAGAAATATACAATTCCTGCAGTATTCAAAAAGCTAAAAATATTGTCAGACAATTGCTGTAAGTTCAGCAGAAGCAGAAAGGGGTTTTTCTAAAATGAATATCATATGTTCAGAGAAGCCATCTAACTGTTTCCAACATAACAAACCTAAGGACCATTAGTGTAATTGGCCTACCTATAAAAGAATGGGACCATATTTCTATAGTAAAAAAAATGATTGCAAGCACATCATACAGCCGATAATGTTCGAGGGTTAAGACTGAAGAAAAATGAAAGTGAAGATGTCAATTACACAGCAGTTTGGAAATACCTTAAAGCTGAATAACACTTTTATTGTTCTTAAGTATTTGTGTACTTTTATTGTTCTTATTTAAGTATTAAATGCATGAAATAATAAACTACCTTTTGGTATATCTTTTTTTAGGCTAAGTGACGTCAAGTTGGTCATGCCCACCCAGTCACGTGATCACTCAGCCACACCCACCTAGTCACACCCACTCACCCACACCCACCCAGCCACGCCCACCCAGCCATGTCTCATCCACCAGTCATTAGGGCAGAGAACCAGTTGTTTAAAAATTTGCAGCCCACTACTGGATTTGAGGCCAAAATTGATAGGATAGTGAAGCTGTTTCATCCTCATATTAGAGATGCACCAGTCATTTAGATCAGTGGTCATCAGCTGGTGGGCCACGGATCACTGGTGGTCTGGGGAAAAATTTTGGTGGTCTGCAGAGAAATGTCACCCCCAAAGCAATTAATCAGGCTGCGCGGGAACACAAGAACACAAGGCTGTGCCACCTACCTGGCCCATAGGAACACAAGGCTTGTGTTGCTTGCATTGCGAACAACACGATGTAGTCAGGGGAGGGGAAAGGGTGGGGGCGGGGAACTTGCCCCATGTACCTCGCCTGGCCACCGGGCTGCTTCTTTATGCTTCTTCTTTCTTCTGCTTTTGGCTGCACACAAGGAAAGCAGCAAGTATTTCTTTTTCTCCCCCAAACTCCGCCAGAAACAAATCTTTGGGACCTGCAAGGCATCCTGCTCCAAGAAGCTGTGAGGGCAAAGACACATTTCTGCTGGAGTTTGGGGGAGAGAAAGAAAGACTTCTGCTGCTTTTGTTGCTTTCCTTGCATGAAGCCAAAAGTCTCTTTCTCTCTCTCTCTCCCCCATGAGAACAAAGCTGGAGACAGTATCCTGTGATCCCAAATAAAGAATGATCAATCAATAGGAAAACAGGGTGGGAAATTTTTCTGCAGACTTTTTTTTTATTTTCCCAGAGTGTGTATATGTGTGTGTGTGAGAGAGGGGGTGGGAGGGAGAGGGAGAACATCACCGCCAGCCCTCCAAGGTTTGATCGGATCTCTCTCTCTCTCTCTTTCTCTCTCTCTCTCTCTCTCTCTCTCTCTCTCTCCCGCCCCCCCCACCCCAGTCAGCAAGCCACCGTCAGTCAAAATTAATATTAGTGGACTGCGGGATTTAAAGTTATGAGTTTGGTGGTCGCTGAGGTCCAAAAGGTTGGAGACCCCTGATTTAGATTACCCACATTTATACATAAAGAAAAGTAATGTGGAAATATAATTTTTGTTATGCAGAATCTATTCTGAATAGAATTGTGGAAAATGGCTTTGAAATAGCCATGCAAAAGGAAATCACTTTATCAGAAGAACAAGCTCGTGAATTCTATCGAGGATGTGAAAATCAAGATTATTTTCCATATCTTTTGGATCAAATGACCAGGTACCCAAGTTAAATACATTTTCTACATTACAGCATTCCATGAGTAAATACCTTATGTTATTGTAGAATGGGAAATCATAGGAATCATATATGTTATATGCAGGAGCTATGAAACCATGATGAGCACCAAAATCTGCAAGAATTTCTCAGAGTTCAACTTCTAGCACTGTGGGCTCCTTGGTAAATCTTGTTACTAACCAGGATTATGCAAGGAGGGCAGAAATTCAATTGTTGAATTGAGGCCATCACCTTGACTGCTTTTGTCTCAGTCCCTGTGGGTATACCTGTTATTGCCCAATGTTTGATTTCATTGTGCAGCTACAATGTTTGTATCAATTTAATGTAGCAATTTTCAGTGGTAGATCATGCACCACGGATATTATTATAAAACTCTTTGTGTTCAGGCTTTTTCAGAATCATTGTACTTCTCCTGACTAAGGATGAATTTCTGAATTAATTTAGATAAAATTTTTGAATGTAAAGAAAAAATATTCTTTTTTTTTAAGATTTGAAATACCTGATTGTAAATGTATTAACAGCAGCTACGCTTGTATTTGCTAAAAACTGGAAAAATGAGAAAATACCACCACAGGAGGAAATCATTAAGAAAATATTGGAATGTGCTGAAATGAGTAGATTGACATTTGAAATTAGAGAGCAAGAGAATGAACAATTTTATAAAATTTGGGATCTTTTCTATCAATAAAACAATAAAATACAGTAATGAAATATGTAGACTTTTAGAAAATAATAAATATATAAAGATGTACTTCTTTCTTATTAAAATTATTTTAGGCTAGATTTGGGATGATAATATGAACTGTTATAAAATAAACTAAGTAAATTATGATTATCTTGTAAAACATGAATGAATAAAAGTATAGTCAAATGATTGATTAATAATGATACTAAGGTATTTAATTTCTGACTGACAATATGAGATTATATGCAATGTAACTGTAATTGAAGACTACAAAATGGAAGCACAAAACAATTTGTAAACCAACCAGCACACTGTATGTACACCTATGGAAGATAGCTTGATGTTTTTATGTTTTGTTTGTTTATGTTTGTTTTTAAAAAACCAATTAAATTTTTTTTTAAAGGAAAAATATTCTTAAGACAAAAATTATGTGAAAAATGTCTTTTTGTTAGCAGTAGTAGTACTTATAACTATCATTATAGGCTGCTCCTGGAGAACTTTAGTTAAGTCATTAAGAAAGTTTAAAATAATAGAAATGGTATGGATTTGTAATTTGTTGAGAAGCAGTCTGTCTAAATATGATCAGTTCTGATGAGGACTTACACTAATGCTGATATCTTAAACCAGGGGTATCCAACTCTACAGCTCATTGACTCTGCATGAAATTTGAGATTGTTCATTGACTCCCAAAAGATGTTTTAGGTGAAAGCAATTTTAATACTATCGCTTTAACAACAACTCTAATAAAGGATAATCTCATCAACCCTTAGAGTCAATATTTACCACTCTGGGGATTTTTCCTTAAATGGATTTGTATGGTTTCACTTATAATTGTAAACACTTTTAATTTTATGAAGAAATCCTAGCTTTTTCTCCAGAATATTTATTGGTTACATTCCAGAATGTTTTTTACTGAATTTATATTCATTCAGAAAAATACACACACTCACACACACACACACACACACACACACACATAAATTCTGCTATATTTGTTTTGAATAGTGGGCCAACTCTTGCTCTTGCTTTGGTACGAGAGAATGCAATCCAAAAATGGAGGGATTTACTTGGCCCAAAGATAATCCAAGAAGCAAAGGAACAATACCCCCAAAGGTAATCTTTTTATTGTAATAATGATATCCTGAGAAATGTTTTTTTTTATTTTCTCTATTGAAGTTGTGCTTTTCTTGTGATAGTTATGACAATAGTGCCATCATCTGGATAGTATCCTATACTACTTCACCATGTTATAGCAAATTATTATACTCAACACAGAAATATCTTTGCAAAAGAAACTTCTCTGTAGGCATTTCTCTGTAGGAAATAATGTGTTAACTTAAAAAGCACAGATATAATTTTCAACAATGACATTACACATCTTTAAAAAGGATATTGCATTAATATTGTGCAAGCTGGAGCTTATATTCATGCATTTACAGAAAGTACAAGTCAAAATATGCAAGATTGTATATATTTTATACATTACTGACACTGAATTTAGTGACTGAAAATGATTACATTCTTTTCTTACATTGTTATTTATTTATTAAATTTATATTTAATAAATATGATTTTTTATTATTCAATGAAAAGTTTAACTTCTGAATGAAAACTCTTCAGTAACTCATGTACTGATAACCTTTGGATTGGTTCCCAAATAATTGAATAAAATGTCCCTCCAAGATTGTCTCTTTATCTTTCACAGAATCTCAGATCATCAAAATATTGCCTACAAACAAGGGTCAGACCATGACAAAAATTTTGCAGAGCCCCTTAGGAAGTCATTTTTTCCTCCCTTACTATATCAACATTCATTATACAGGTTCACCATTTAAACAAGAGAAACTGGTTATGGATCAGAAGTATTCACCACTACATCTGTATTACCATATGGAAAAACCCTCGAGGAATTACACTGATCAACATTTATTAGAGTGCTCTTTAAAATGTCAACTATTATTATTGAATGAGATTTTCTGAACGGATGTTGAATTTTGCTTAAGGTGATATCTATGGACAGATAAGGTGTAAAAACATCCCTCTACCACAAGACATTTGTTAATAATAACCAAGTTATTTCAGTTTTCTGCTGTTGATAGGAATCTTTATATGAATCTCAGTTTTAATTTTAGGTGAATTCTGTGACTGCTGTTCCAAACTGTTAAAATTTGTTTCAGTAGAAAAGTGATCTATTCAGCTAATACTTTATTTTCAGAATTTGCCCTGCCATTGCTTTCTTTTTTTAAGATAACAAGAATCCTGAGGACAGAATGTTTATCTGAATTTTTCTATGGAATACTTTTTTAAAAAATAAATTTTATTATTCTTTTACTTTAGTTTAGTTTATTTACTTTATTGTCATTGCACCTCATACGATGAAATCAAACACCATCTTCAGTCCACATCATTTTTTACATTTTAAAAAGCAAAATTGATCATGATATTGTGAGAAGCGTTAATAAAGTATCCTTTTTATGACTCAAATCTCATGTTGAAAGATAGATTATGTCCTTGAAGTAAGGGAGTGCAGTACCAGACACCAGTTACTTTTTTGGAAAGTCTTTGGAGCGCTGGGAATTATCACACTTTTTGGAATGTCTTTGAAATGCCAGATACCGGGTAAGAAAGTGTTTGTTATGTCTGGGTACCAAAAAGATAATAAAATGTAACTTGTATCCTGAAAGATGTATTGTAAATCAAGCCATTTGTATACGGGGGAGGGGGAAGGGGGGTGTAGTTTTAAGGTATAAGAGTAGAGCAAAAGCTATGCTTTTTGTTCCTCCCAGCTGCCTAGGGTGGAACCCATCTGCAGATGTATATCCAATAAAGCCTTTTTCCTTGGATCAACTTTGAATCCTGGTGGTTTTTCTTTACCCACAATCTCAAAATTTGGGGGCTCGTCCGGGATCCTCGATGGTGGTCGACTGGAAAGTGGGGACCAGGTAAGAGAGTGGCCACAACCTCCCATTGAGAGGCACCTCTCCCCGAATTCGGTCAGACTCCCGAGGTGACTTTGAATCCAGACGGTCCTTGGAAAAAGAACTGAGACGAAATGCCGGCTGAGAGTTTGTGAAATCGATCTGAGTTGGGGACGCCCACACATCCTTTGACTGCGGAGAGTCCAGGAGTGATCAGATCAGGTAAACTTTGTTCCTTTCATTTGTAGCCCAAAAGAGAAAGATCCTTAAACTCCCTGGGGGAATCCAGCGCCTGCTGGAGGATTGGGACTAGGAGACTGGAAGAAAGAGGTCCTTAAACTCTCTGGGAGAATCCAGCACTTGCTGGAGGACTGGGACTGGTGAGTCAAGGCTCTGGGAGCCTGAAAGAATAGAGACGGGAAAGGGACAAAGCGAGGGTCTTGGAGACCTGGAAGAAGCCTGTCTGGGACAGGGAAGATTTGACAATGGCAGAAAACCTATTCCGGTAGATTCGCCCCTGGGACAACTACTTAAGCAGTAGTTCTCCCCGAATCTAAAGAAATTCACCAGACATCTCGAAAAGAAAAACATGATTTATCTTTGTCGAGATAGATGGCCAAAATACCCTCTGATTGATCCTAAATTTCCATATCACTGGAGCCTGAGGGGGAAACCAGTACCTATTGGATGACCAAATTGCGAGACTATATTCTCCAACACAAAATGACCACCCAAATTGCATACATAGAGGTATGGTTTCATGTGAAATTTGCAACAGAAGTGCAATGAAAGTGAGACGGATGATTGGCTTCAGAGTCCGCCGCCCTCAAATCCTAACTTGAATAATGTACCAGCCAATGTTCCAGCGGCCCCGCCATTGCCGGCGCCACAACCCCCTCCTCAGCCGCCTTATCCACGGCTGAGAAAAGAAGTGGAACAGTTGAGAAGAGATGTTCAAAATTTTCTCTTCAGCCAAAAACCTGAAGTGGATGCATTTCCTCTTAGGGAAGTCCCTAATGGGATCAATGCTGCAGGCAATCCGGTGACAGTCTTTGTGGCTGTCCCCATAAAACCAGCCGAGTTGCGAGAATTGAAGAAGACTCTTCCAAAGCTTCATGAAAATGCTCATGAGGTGGCCGAACAGTTAGAGCTATGGTTGGGTCCGAATGATTACACTTATCAGGAGCTGATGTACATTTTGGGACATCTATTTACTCCTGAGGAGCGGAATCTCATCCAGACCTCAGCCTGGAGAGCGTGGAATGAAAGAGTGAATGGGCAACAAGGGGCAGTGGCAGGAGATCAAAAAATTCTCCATAGAAAATTCAGAAAATGGATAATTGGGGAGCTGTGGGAATGGTTGATCTCCTGAAAGCAGCCCAACAAGTTTTTGTGAACAGAGACACTGTAAAAACCAGACAGAAATCACAAATGATGGTTGCAGCTGTACAGGCTGCAACAAAGAGCGAAGTAAAGAAAAGTGGGAATTTTGGGAAGGGTCCAATTGGAGAAAGAAGAGAGAATTTTGGGGGATACAATCAGGAAGGTTTTCGAGGTAGGGGAAGAGGTTCCAGAGGAAGAGGCATGGGAATGAGACAGCCTGGAATGGATAGGAGTTGCTTCAGGTGTGGGAAGGAAGGTCACTTTGCGTGCGAGTGTCCTACCAACCAAGAAGAGTGGAGTTATGCATTGTATGATGATTAGGGCTGTTCCGGCTCCTTTAAGAGGACCTGCGGGGAGCCATTGGTAAACATTTTAGTGGGTCCTAACTGTCAGGAGCGGCTGTTCCTGATAGACACCGGCGCAAGCCAGACTTCTGTGTGTGACCTGGTAGAAGGTGCACATAGATCAAGGAAAGTGATAAAAGTAGTTGGGGTGAGTGGAAAATCGCAGGATGTGAGTGTGTTTGAACAAATTAGACTGGAAATGAATGAAGTGGTGACTGAAGCTGAAGTGTTGTATATTCCTGATTCTGGAGTGAATTTGCTGGGGAGAGATTTGTTGCCTGTGTTCGGTATCCAGCTGTGGGATACCGGGAAGGGAATAGGGATGATTAGTTAATGATTTGAGGTGGATCTCCTGATCCCTATACTATCTTGGGACGAATTCCTCCCAAAGACAAATGGTTTACTGTGATAGATCTGAAGGATGCCTTCTGGGCATGCCCCCTTGAGGAGGGAAGTAGAGACCTGTTTGCATTTGAATGGAATGATCCTGAGACTGGGAGAAAACAGCAATTAAGGTGGACAGTACTTCCCCAGGGCTATACTGAGAGCCCTTTGTTGTTTGGACAGGCTTTGGAAGAAAAGTTAGTGTCTTTTGAGAAAGGGAAAGGGATCATGTTGATTCAGTATGTGGATGACTTGTTGTTGACTGGGGAGAAAGAGAAAAGGGTTAGAGCAGCATCTGTGGCTTTGTTAAATTGGCTGAAAGAGCAAGGATTGACAGTTTCAAGGGAAAAGATCCAGTTTGTGGAAAGGAAGGTGAAATATTTGGGGCATTAAGTCAAAAGCCCTTGGATTGTTGGGGTATTGCAGAGTCTGGGTGGACCAGTACACTGTGCTAGCTCAATTCCTGCACAGGAAGCTGGTAGGAAAAGGAGAAAGTATAGAATGGTTAGAGGGAGATGATGAAAAATGGGAAGGTTTAAAGAAGGCACTGTCATCTGCACCGGTTTTGGCTTTGCCCAATTTAGAGCTCCCATTTCATCTGTATGTGTCAGCAGCCCAGGGAATGGCACTAGGAGTGTTGGCGCAGAAGAGGGGGGGCAATACCAGCCCATCGCCTTTCTGAGCAAAACTCTGGAGCCGGTGGTTAGAGGATGGCCGATGTGTGCAGGCTGTGGCTGCTACAGCTATGTTGGTGGTAGAGAGCAAGAAGTTAACCTTTGTGGGGGGGGGCTTGTGGTGCATTCTCCTCATCAGGTCACTTCTGTGCTAAGTCAGTTGGCAACAACTTGGATGACAGAGGGGCGGATTCTCAAATATGAGACCATTTTGAGAACCAGCCCTGATGTAGTGATTGGGACAGACAGGAATTTGAATCCAGCAGAATTCCTAGAAGGGAGAAGACAGGAGTGGGAAGCTGAGGATCATGATTGTTTGTTGCAAGTAGATTTGATGACAAAAGTGAGGGAGGATCTGGAAGAGACTCCTTTGAAGGATGGGGAAAGGTGGTTTGTGGATGGATCAAGCA